ACATGCTGTATATGGCCTGTTTGTTCTGTTACATGCTGTATATGGCCTGTTTGTTGTTACATGCTGTACATCGCCTGTTTGTTCTGTTACATGCTGTATATCGCCTGTTTGTTCTGTTACATGCTGTACATGGCCCATTTATTCTGTTACATGCTGTATATGGCCTGTTTGTTCTGTTACAGAACAAACAGGCATGTTGCTTTGGTGGTCATCTAGCATTTTTAGATTTGAATTCAGAATATGTTGTGCATCACTGTCAGGTACCACCACACTAAACTTCAGCTCAATATATTTTCAAATAGCTGAGTTATCATATTTTTTTCCTTTTTAGCTAAGGCTGCCATATTGGATTTTTCATTTGCATTAGGAAAGTACAACAACTTGCTCTCAGCTACCACATACCAAATTTTAGCTCAATATCTCAAAGAATGACTGAGCTATAGTCAATTTTGAGTTTTCTGAGGTAGCTGTGGCAGCCATCTTGAACACAAATGGCTCCAAAAGTTAATCAGTGCTTTGTTCAATGACCTCACCACTATAGGTCATGTGACTGTGGCAGTTAGAAGCTGTTCAACGTTCTGTCAGTGTTTTTCATTGAGAAAAATGGTGTCTTTGTTTGCAAATTATGTTGCCATGGTAACCTGAAATGCCAATAAAATTAATTTGTTTTGAAATAACATTTGTGGGTGGGTTTGTGTGTGGGAGAGTATTGCGGTTCAGGCCACATTAAAGTTGACGGAAGAGTAAGACCCTTTTCAGGTGAATAATAATGTGTCTTCAGGCGGTCCCCTATGATCGTAACCTTCCCAGTGACGGACAGGCCTTCAGATTTTCTGGGGCAATTCTTGAGTTACTGATATTGACAGAATGTGGACATAAAAGAAAATTTCCCCAACTCAAAGACAGCACAGATTGAATGCAGCAACAAACCATTATATTCACATTCAAGTTAAGATGTTGCACAGCTACAAGTTACAGAGAATCAGTGCTCATATTTACAGCACAGCTTAAACAAAGCTATGAGGAAACACGTGGGATAAGACAAAAATACATGAAGTGAATCAGAAGTGAGAGCACACTTGAAAAACAGGTTTCCTAAATCAGTGGTCGCACTAAGAACTGAGATGACGTTTGACATGCACTTGGGACTGAAGTCAAAGTAGTTCAGAGAAGGACACATGTATGGTAACAAAGAAACGGCCAAAGGCCTGAGCACAGCTGCAGAAGTCCTGGACATAAGAAGAACCGTCTACAGCCGCCAGGCAGACTCGGCGCACAGCTGTATAATCTTTCCTTTGGGTGATATCACCAGTTTCAGAATGCTTCTTGGAACCTAGCTGCCCAAAATTCCAAGCAAGATGATCAGAGCCGAAGATCTGAAGTCGACCAACTGCAGATGATTGGACAGGAACGATGACACTACAGCAGTGGTAGCTTCTCCCGCCATTTTCTTCAGGTACACCACCTGATCTTGGGCTGATAGAGGCATGTTTCCAGAAGAGGTCGTGTGATGAAAGAATACAGAGAAGGCTAGATGGAGCTAACCAAATGAAGCTTGTTTTGATAAGGGTTCATTACTCGAAGCATCTGAACAGTCCTTTTCAGCACCATCTGGGGACCTGAAGTATAAAAAGCAGCTGGACTCTACAACCTGAAATGCTTCAACCTGATGTCTTCTAATGACAGCGGTCAACTCAACTTCGCCGAGTGACGTGCAACATTTCTGTCCAACATTGGGCTGTCGTGGTATTTTTTGTGGGAGGTAGTTTTTGAAGAATAAATAAACTAGTTTAAACGTGTGCCGTGTCGTAATGACACTTTGTGTGTGACTTGATTTATGTAAACCGGTTTTTTAACAATCATGTCTAGTTTGGGATGGTGCTTGTGCTGCAAGATCCCAGCCTCCATGACTTTTTGTTAGTAATTATTACCCAGTTTGTTTACTGAGATCATATTGTAATTTATGTACATATTAAAGTTTTATTTTTCTTGTGGTAGAAGTGCTCATGAGCTCCTGTACCTTCATCCAGACCTGAGAAGAGAGGGGAGCCCACAAAACCAGACCTGACAATGGTTGTTAATGGTGACGCCTGATTTGAGCCTGGTGTTGGGATCAGAAGGTGCATAAAGCTGCTCTGGAGAGAAATAGGCCTGAGCTGCTTTAAAATGTAAACAAACTTAATATTTTGACGAGTATTTTAGTTTTGAAACAGGCAAATATTTCAATACAAGGATACTTAAAGGATTACTAAGTTATTAAGTAACCGATGGGTGGATGGATGGATGCAACTTTTCTATAGGAACCGCAGTAAACCCCAAGCTGATGGTGGCTCAGTTGGTAGAGCTGTTGCCTCTCAGTGAGGTTGCCGGATCAAATCCCAGCCCGGAGCCTTTCTGAGAGGAGTTTGCATGTTCTCGAAGTGCTGCGTGGGTTTTGTCTGGGTACTCCAGTTTCCTCTCACAGACCAAAAACATGCATGTTAGACTGACAGGTAACTGTCTCTAGGTGTGAGAGTGAATGGTTGGTTGTTTTTGTGTCCCAGTGATGGACTGGAGACCAGTCCAGGGTGTCTCCTGCCTCTTGCAGTTACTTGACATGAGCACCAGTGACCCAAAAAGGCAGAAGCGGGTAAAGACAATGGATGGATGGTTTTGAAATACTGACAAAGTAAAAAAGTATCTACATATACATTTTTACAGCAGCGTTCTGACCTTTTAGCTGTGGATCAGATTGTGTTCAAAGGTCGACATCAAAACTGAGACATGACGTTCAAATCCTCACCGCAAGCAATAATCCAGTTTGCAGCTTATTGATCACAGTTAATCATGAAGTACCTGCCAGAGCAGCGCAGCATTGTTTCAGTAGGTAAAAGGTTTTGATGGGAGTGCTTCGTGCAGATGACTCTTCATTCTTCTTAAAGCTGGTTGTGTTCCAGCTGTTCACAAGATGAAACACTTTGCATCATTTGCAAAGACTGCAGCACAAAACAAACGCTTTTTGTAAAATTGTTCAAATTGATCAAAAACTTGGAAGTAAACTGATTTGCAAGAAAAACACGGCTTCCCTTTAAATACTACCCAAATCATAAAAGGTTTGAAACCTTCAGTGAAAAGTATTTAGACAAATAAATAAATCATGTTGGGTATGGTTGCCATGGTGAGGTCACCCAGGGAATCTCTTATCATGACATGAGAAACCATGAATTTAAACCTTTTCTTCTGTTATTTACATACATCCCACCACTGCTGCTCCTTTGAAGACAAAAGTCAATACAATGTGTCCTTTTCAATATTACATTTTATTCCATTTAAGCTTCCTTTGTCCAGGTTGTACAGTGGAATGTTAAGATTCCCCTTCAAGAATTAAAAAAAGAAACAATCTGACCCCACATCCACACTTCAATTGTAATCTGGGGAAATAAAAGAGGGGAAAGGATAACAAACGTGACTTTTTGAATAATGCTGATGCACTCTGACACTAAGTAAAGGATGACTGGGTGGATGGATGCCACGTTACTATAGGAACCTCAGTAAAACCCGAGCTGATGGAGCAGATTTACAGGCAGACTCGCACCTGGGAGTTCTGGACTCGAATGACAGCTCAATTGTTTTGGAGGCTCATTTAAAAGTTCTTATTTTCATTTTCTGCCTTTTCAGAATTTCTCTTAGAACTAAAAACAACCCGTCAAGGAGGAGCGGTTCTAAAGGTGTTCCCAAAAAACATGACAAACGTCAACAGATGCAAGACGTTAAATGGTTTTACTGGTAGATAAGCTTGTCCTTCAGTTGACAATCCCTTACAAAGCGTGCACTTCACCATTAAACTTCAACCTGCAGATGATTAATAATTAACGATTAATTAAAAAGCAAAGAACAAGGAAAAAATAATTTCAAAACAAAGAGCTGAGACTTGCAGACTGAACAAACTGGGCCAAGTTTGGTGTTCCCCCAACAAAGAACAGATTTCTACAAAAACTGAAAAATCTAAATATGCTTAGAAGGAAAAAAAAGATGTGAATTGAGATATTAAAAACAAGTCATGGTTTTAACAAAAGCAGCACGACGTGCACAGAGGAGTCAGGACTAACTTTAACAAAGAACCAAGAAAGTAAGGAAACAATGGGTGAACAAGTGGCAGAAGCAGCCAGGCTGTGGACGTGCATCCATTCTAAGCTCCCTGCTCCGACTCTGGTGGAGACCCGGGCCTCAGGTCCTGCTCCTCTACCTCCTGGCAGGATTTACTGATGGAGGCTGCTGGTCCCTCCTCCACCCCCACAGTCATCCTCTACTTAGCCTCCAGTCTTTACAGTTCTGAACAGCATCATCAGCTGAGCTTTCATTTCTGTATATTTGCAGTTTTTATTCATGTTCAAATTACACTCTTTACATATACATATATATATACATACATACATTATATATGTAATATATATATGTAATATGTATATATATATGATCCTCTCATACAAACATAAATACACCACCGCTGCTCTTCTCCACCATGGAGGAAGCTCTGCCAGAAGGCAAACAGTCCTGACGATGTACAGTCTAATAGCAAACAGGGGCGGCAGGCAGAAATCTTCAATCTTCTCCATAGCATAGATTTGGACATTGTGATTTTTTATTTTTTTATTTAGTTATTTTCATCCAACATCTACTCAATGACGTATTTGTCGACAACAAAGGAGGTTTCTGTAGAGAATTTAACAGAGCTGTCGCCGTCTACATGAGTCACTTTGGTCACCTGGAAAACAACAAGAAAAAAAGATTTGTCATCTTCACTTCTTCAATTCACGATCCTGTTAACGAGAAAACATGTTCCTACCTTTATACTGTTCTCATTGTAAACAGATGCATTTTATTCATTTTCACTGACTGGACTTTAACCACACAGGAAGTTTGTACGTCAGTGTCACAATACAGTGAATACAGCTGCAGCTACAAAATTTAGAACACTGAAAAAGTTCAATTTTTCCCAATAATTTCAGAAAGTGAAACTCATACATACTGTAATTGTCAGTCTATAGACCTCCCCAAATATAAGCTTCGCACAGCAAATTAAAAAATAATAATTATAACACATAAGCTGCAGGTGTTCATGTTGTAACATGCCAGGCAGCTCACAGCTGAGATGTGCAGCTCTGGTGGTAGATCAAGAATCAACCACCAGACGGCGTCTTACAGACTTGTTTTGTACTGTTCAACATGCAGAGTGTACCCCACAGGTTGTCATGACAACTACCTCCCTCACTCATGGTTACTCTACTGAATGTTCCAACACAAACTAACACATAATGAACATAAACTAACAAGAACAGAGTAATCACTAAAATAATGATGAACAGGTAATTGAAGTTATTAACAATGAACATAAATTCTACCCATAATCCCTCCCTGAGGCCATGTGACCAGCCGTCAACCACAATGAGCCAATGAGGTATTCCCATTGAGTCATGTGGCATGAGGCGTATTTTTGCTAACGTTAAATCTACTGACTAATCATGGTGGCTACCTGGCAGCGTCTGTACGTGCTGTGAGAGAAACAAAACTAGCAGGACTTGAAAGTTTGTAAAAGATAAAAGCAGCAGCAGACTGAAACATTTATTTATTGCTGTACTTCCATTTTGACTTAAATGAGATATTTAGGGTGAATATTTCAAGTGTAAATGTATTTACACGCGTTGGTAAGATTTTTTTAATCTTCTTGCTGCTGTTTATGACTGAGGTAAATCTGAATTTATTACTACGGTCATATTTGTTTATAGCTCAGCAATCAAGATTAAATAATAATACAGTCTGCAGAGCTCGATGTACAAACTCAAACTTTACATTATAGATAATGTAAAGTTTGAGTTTCTTACTGAGTTTCTAACAAAGATTCCATTCAGTTTTCCAATCCATAAAAATTATTTTACAGTATTTAGATTGTGCTGTGACGGTTAAAAATAATTCAGTGACAGAGGGTTTTAATTAAATCATCCTCAAACCTCACACATAAATAAAATGCATAAATCAAATACAACTGACACTAATGTTACTTTGATTGCAGCAGGTCATCAGAAAGTGTAGATTACTTAACTATATTACATAATTTTATAATATCCAATGAAGTACACTTGAAACATATTTATTAAGGCATAACAATGAACAAACAAATAATTTTATTCTTCTTCCTTTCAGTAAATGTCAGAGTCATACGTTGGACAGCTTCGTCCAAACGGCTCCAGGATGTTGGTTGTGCAGCAGCTGAGTTCACAAACAGCATTTTAAATGTGATCTTCACAGACGTGCAGCTGCTGTCCTGGTGGAAGATGAAGGATCCACAAGATCATCTCCACCTTCAATACAAATCATGTCCTTCCTTCCAGATCCTACTTTGTAAATTCCATTCATTTTCCAATCCATAAAAGTTATTTTACAGCATTTAGATTTTTATGTGATGTTTAAAAATAATTCAACTTAAGCAATAAAATATTTTAAAAAGAGGAATTAAATGGGTTGTTTATTTATGTATTTTGTTTATTAAATGTTCTTTATTCCTGTATTTGTATCACTCATAAAATGAGTATGGTAGTTACTGCAGAACTTGACAAATTTTGTTTTTGATTACCCGATTAATGGCCAAAAGATGTTAGCATTGCTTTTATTTTACATTTTATTGTTGGATGTAAGTGGCACCCTGTGTACATAATTTCACTCCACCACATGTACTACAAGGTGTGAATGACAAAGAATCTGACTCTGATTACTAAAATATTTGTTTACAACAGCCCTAAGTATGATTATTTAATTGTTTATTTATTTGTGTGTTACTGCTGCAAATAAGTATTTGAACAGCTGTGAAAAAGTAGTCTTTGTTTGCAGTTACAGAGGTCAAATGTTTCCTGTAGTTTCTCACCAGGTTCACTGCAGCAGGATTCTGGCTCATTCCTCCACAGATCTTCTCTAGATCACCAGGTTTCTGGGCTGTTGCTGATAAACACGGAGTTTGAGCTCCCTCCAAAGATTTTCTATAGGGTTTAGATCTGGAGACTGGCTGGACCACTCCAGAACCTTGATATGTTCTTACGGAGCCACTCCTTGGTTCTCCTGGCTGTGTGCTTCAGGTCATTGTGATGTTGGAAGACCCAGCCACGTCCCATCTTCAATGTTCTAACTGAGGGGAGGAGGTTGTTCCCCAAAATCTCTCACTACATGGCCCCGGTCATCCTCTCCTTAATACAGTGCAGTCGTCCTGTCCCATGTGCAGAAAAACACCCCCAAAGCATGATGCTTCCACCCCCATGCTTCACAGTAGGGATGGTGTTTTGGGATGGTACTCATCATTCTTCATCCTCCAAACACGGCGAGTGGAATTAAGACCAAAAAGTTCTAAGCTGGTCTCATCTGACCACAGAACTTTCTCCCATGTCTCCTCTGGATCATCCGAATGGTCATGGTCAAACTTGAGACGGGCCTGGACGTGCGCTGATTTAAGCAGGGGAACCTTCCGTGCCATGCATGATTTAAACTATGACGTCTTAGTGTATTACCCACAGTAACCATGGAAACAGTGGTGTCAGCTCTCTTCAGGTCATGGACCAGCTCCTCCCATGTAGTTCTGGGCTGATTCCTCACCTTTCTTAGGATCATCGATACGCCACGAGGTGAGATCTTGCATGGAGCCCCAGGCCGAGAGAGATTGACAGTCATGTTTAGCTTCTTCCATTTTCTAATAATTGCTCCAATAGTTGATCTTTCTTCACCAAGCTGCTTGGCAATTGCTCCGTAGTCCTTTCCAGCCTTGTGGAGGTCTACAAGTTTGTCTCTGGTGTCTCTGGACAGCTCTTTGGTCTTAGTCATGTTAGTAGTTGGAGTCTTACTGATTGTGTGGGGTGGACAGGTGTCTTTATGCAGCTAACGACCTCAAACAAGTGCTTCTAATTTAGAATAATGATAAGTGGAGTGGAGGTGGACTTTTTAGAGGCGGACTAACAGGTCTTTGAGGGCCATAATTGTTGCTGACTGGCAGCTGTTCAAATACTTATTTTCCTCACTGTATGAGCACCCGGGTGTGATGAAGCCAAATGTTTTGGCGGCTGGAAGCTTGTTAGCTCGTCATTAAAAAAATTTAAAATCCATAAATTAGCTGCAGCGTTGTATAAGCTGTGGGGGTCAAAGCCTGTGAAAAAAGTAGCTGCTTATAGACCAGAAAGTACGGTAGATTCATTACACAGTAAAATATTTCAATATTTCTTGTAGTTTTGATGATTATTGTTTTATAGATGAACTAAATTCACATTTTACTATTTTAAAAGAATCTATACAAGTTTCACTTTCTGAAATGACTGACAAAAAAATCCAAACACTTTCAGAATATTGTTTTTTTTAATGTCCCCGTTTATATTTGAACTTTAAAATTTGTGTGCTACAGTTTTATAATGTGCCGATTAAAACAGATTATTCACTAAAAGTCAGCAGTTGACCTGAACTGATTCAGAAGAGACTTTTTTTAACTTTAATAGATCTATAAACAATATTATATAAATATTTCTGGACTGACTAAACAGAAAAGGCTTTGGGCAACAGTTTTTAGATGATAAACTTTGAATTGTTGAATCACATCACCAGTCTCTCTTTTAAAGGGTTTGATCTTCCAGGGACAGACATGAGGACATTTTGCAAGTTGTCCAGAAATCTGACAAAATCTGGACGGTCGCCAAAACGTTTGGTCGTCTGCGACCTTTACAATAAAGACGACGAAAATCTGAAGAAAAAGGTCATTAAGTATCTGAAGAAGTCAAGTCTGGGATTATTCTTCTTGTTGAAACGTTTCACCTTTTATCTAAAGTACTTCTTCAGTCTGAGGAGCTGCAACTAACTCAGTCTTATAAATAACACCTCCTTTTGACACCACCTGGTCCTCCTCCATCATGTGAACAGCTCGTTCTGGATGTCAACAACACACTGGTTGATCCACTATGAGAAGGTGTTATTTATAAAACTGAGTTTGTTGCAGCTCCTCAGAATGAAGAAGTACTTTGGATAAAAGAGGAAACGTTTCAACAACAAGAATCCGTCCAGAGGACCTGACCTATTTTTCTATCAGGATAACTGAAGTATTTCATTATATGCAAACATTATTATATACACATGTTCTCAGTCAGCCATCTTGTGGACTGCTTGGAGCTCCTGAGGGGCAGGCTCTTTCAGGAGCTGCTGGAGTGGGACTTCCTCGTTCTCCTCTTCAGACTTTGCGAGAGGCACCCACAGTGTATTTACAGCAGATTAAAGCAGAAAAACGTTTCCGTTTCTGCCCGTTTCACCGTGAGAGACACTCAGGAAGAGTGCGCTCCCACCGCGGCGGCGCCGTCTCCTTTGAGGACCAGAAATTTAGTCACGCGCACAAGTTGTACATTTCTTTACGATGCTCGGAACACGTTAACGTTTAGTACGATGCTACACTTTAGATACAGACGTGCTGAGGAGGTCGGGAGTGTGGTGCAGGAGGAGGGGTGATGGTGATTCAATTCTGGTCTCTCCTCCAGCTGCAGTGAACTGGTCACATGCCAACAAACACATTTAGTACGTTTTTTAAAGGATGACGTCATCACCCACCGTGTATCAAACAGAGAACTGCTCTGCTCCAATTGGGTCAATTTTTGAACAGTGTGGGGGGTGGGGGTGGGATGGATCGCTACATCTAAATTTTCAGCTAACACATCTGTATTGTGCGCAGCTAGCTTAGTGCTACAGTGCCGGCAGTTGTCGACGGGTGGGAGCAGCTCAGTAGGCAGGGTGCTCAGTTCTGTTGACAGGGTGGGGCACCCTGCTTGTATAAGGGTGGGGGGAAACACTGTATATAACACATCTGTATTGTGCGCAGCTAGCTTAGTGCTACAGTGCCGGCAGTTGTCGATGGGTGGGAGCAGCTCAGTAGGCAGGGTGCTCAGTTCTGTTGACAGGGTGGGGCACCCTGCTTGTATAAGGGTGGGGGGAAACACTGTATATAACACATCTTTTTGCACGACCTGGTTTAGTTTGTAACCATGTTCTTAACTGCACAACATCTGTTAGTGATGGTATAGGCCAGGGCTATTCAGCTGGCGGCCCACGGGCCAGAACTTCAGTCCAGCCCAGCAATGACTTGATTAAAAAAAAATTTAAATGAAGAAAAATTTTGAATTTTTAATGACAATCCTTTTATATAATAATAATAATAATAATAATAATAATAATAATAACAATAATAATAATAATAATAATAAATAATAATAATAATAATAATGTGTTATGTATTATCATTGTATGGTCCCATACAATGGTGCACTTGGATCTCTACATTTAACCCATCCATCACCAGGTGGAGCAGTGGGCAGCCATTGAAAGTGCCCGGGCAGCAATTGGGGATAAAGTGTGCTGCTCAGAGACACCATATCATGTGCAATGACTGGGGATCGAACCTGGGACTTCTCGGGTCCCGAGTCGGCTGCCCTGCCTCTACCCCATCTCGACCCCTTTGATCTCAGTGGACTCAAGAAATGCTCAAATGTTAAAATAAACTGTGTTTTTGTCATCGAGACTGTCGATCATGTTTGTCTGATTTGCCTGAATTATCACGTCATGTTTTTATTGTCCAAGAACTTTTAGTGACCAAAAAGGTCATAATGGACCGGTGTTGTGCCAAAAAAACAGCGGGCTGCCAAATGGCGGCCGTGGGAATGTGCACGGGAGGACTTTAACAAGATCAACACTTAAAAACAATTATTTCTTTGCTCAAAATTATATTAAATGTGTGTCTCAGTCTAACATTTGCTTAATAAATGCACTTTAATGGTCAAATCAGCTGCATTTTGCCGGGGCAGTGCAGCTGATTCGACGGTTCCAAGCAACGAGCAGAATGAAGGTGGGAGACTACGGCAGGCCGATTGTGTCATTAATAGCTGGTGAAGATTCTCAGTCATCCAGGACATGGTAAATTCAAAAAAGTTTAAGAAAAAAAACAACAAAATATAAAGTGAAGTATAATAAATAAAGTCCAGTTTTTCTCTTGAACTTTTGATTCTTTCATTTTAGCCACGTTTATTTATTACATGATACAACAGCATGCCTCAGCACTATTACTACTCTGCTGCCATCAAGTGGCTGAAAGTGGTACTGCTCTTTTTTCTCCGGTCATCTCTCAGCCAAAACATGGTTTATAAATATGGGGGGAAAAAAAATCCATAAACACGTCGCTTTGGCCGATAAGTCGCAGGACAAGTAAATTATGCAAAGAGTAACTTATAGGCAGAAAAATACAGATATAGATTTATATATGCACATTTTTTTTGCTATTATATAACTTTATTAAAAATATAGCGTAGTCTCATGTTTGTTTATATTGTTTCACATCAGAATATCACTACTTTTATGACAAGAAATTAAATCTAGAAATGTAATTTCTTTGAATTACAATTCTGGGTTCTGTTTATTGTCTTTATGAGTCAATGCAGCACAATAAATTAATTTAAAAAGTATCAGATCATTGTAATACTTGTTTAATTTGCATACTGACTAATTGCTGGATGTCCGGCCCCTGAGCTGCTGGTTTTAGATGTCGGTGCCAAGTGCATCAGTCTGCTGGGAGCTGAATAAACGACTCGACGTGCTGCACAGATGGACCGATCGATTCAGTGCCATCAACGTAAATAGTTCATCTTTGTCACAATTTATTAAACAGACTAACTTGAAGTGTTGCTGCAAAAATGAGTAATTGTCAAAAGTAAAACGTATGACGACCTCCGAGTTTTACTCAACTCTTAATTTGACCCCAACCCAAGTAGCCAGATCTCCACAGTTCATCTTTTATCACCTTGATGGAGCCATCATCAGTACCCACCTCGATGTCACAGAAGTTACGCTTGGACACGAAGGACACGTTGACGGGGAAGAAATCATGAGGCTGCCCAGCGATGCTGAACTCCAGGCTGCCAGTTTTGTTGTTGGCATCGATGACAGGTAGGCACCACTCCAGGATGTTCCGCCGGCTGTCGTGCTTGTACTCTCCGTCCAGGTCACCAATTACAGGAGCTCCCACGCCAGATCTGCAGAGGAGGAAGGGTCAGTACAGGCAGCATACAGGAACTTCAGGTCAAAGTAAGGTGGTAACAGGTGGACATGTGTTACAACACGGCCAAGACTGAGCTGCTCGTTTCTTTTCCGCATCATTAGAGCATCCAGATGTTTACCTGGAGCTCTACATACTGATCTCTAGTTTTCAGTACGCATAACCAGCAAATACATTTACATTAGCTGCACAACTATAGTGGGAAAACAGAAACAAATATTAATCTGACGTTAACAGACATTTACAAGCAACTTATCCTGCAGCGCCCCCAACAGGTGACCTCACGTAAATTACTTTATTTGCTTTAGACGTCTTATTAAGAAGTTATTTAAGAATTTTACCAAGACATTACACTGGTTTGGGTTACTCATGAATACAAATCCTGGCCATGCCCAGAACTGAACACATTTCCAGCAGATCCATTTGCTGGGCAGATGCACTTACGGTATAGGGATGCTGATGACGACGTCGTTCAGCTCCAGGCTGTCCTTCTGCAGCTCATACTCGATGTTGACATCACAGCCAGTGGCGCTCTCTGAAGGCCAGCAGTTTACTGAGACACACACAATAATCCAGGTGAGAGCAGCTACACCCTGTTCTGTGCTCCTGCACCAAGAACTGTGCAAAAATAATGTGAACCAATAAGGATGCTGCTGACTCTGCACAATGAACAACAACTAAACAAATCTGAGAGCTTAAAGTTATACTCTCTATATATATATATCTAAGGATTTTAAAAGAGGTCAACTAACTCAGCTCCTTCTTAAGGAACCATTCCAACTCCTTAATGTGTTTAGTGATTAGAAAGCAAACTGATCTCTTTTGGACCATTATTTGGACTAAACATGACATCTAAAGCAGGACTAGCCAACTAAACTGCTCAGGGGGTGGACATCCAGCAGTTAATGTCAGTAAGTTTGTTTTATGGTTTAAAATCTAGTTTTATTAAAAATAAACCCATTGGTGGGCCAAACTGAGCTCACCTGTGGGCCTCATTTGGCCCCGGGGCCGCCAGTTGAATAGGCCTGATCTAAAGTAATCGTCAACAAAGTCCACGCTCAATAATCCAGGTATACAATCCATTTTTCCGTCAGGTCATCTGACTATAACTGGTTAGTTCCACTTTGGAGTAGCTGTTGGGGGAAGAATCAGTTTTGTGTGGTGTGTTTCCTTGACTGAAGAAGCCTTCCGGATGGAAGGGGAATCGTTTCAGCACAAACAAAAGAAACTGTCCAGATGACCCGACTGAAAAATGTTTAAAGTCGTCGTCCTTTGCTGTGAAGAATACTAGTTCTAACTAACGGAAGATTAGCCCAGATAATCCCATACTTGCAGTTCCAGCACCTGCAGCATCACAACAGTCACACAGATTATGTAAACGGGTCATATTTTTGAACGCACTGGTTAGAGGTATGAGGGTCTCGTCTGTGGTCTGCAGCCTCCACTTGAGCACACCAACATCGTTATTGAGAGGAAAGGACTTCTCTGGGTTCTTCAGGCCAATCACTGACTCGGCTGTGAAAAACTTCTTATCCACATTGGGATGTGTCTGTCAACAAAAACAATTAATTAATTTACGTCAGAGTTGAGAAAAAGTGAAACATTTAATCTGAAGACACCAATAAAGCCACAGGTAGATCGTGCAGAGTCTTCAGATTTAATACGCAGTAAGAATGCGCGATATAAACTGTACACGGTAGAAACGATAGACATTTAGCCTACGATAGAGATCCGACTTCTACCGGCTAACCGCAGTAATGCTGTGTCTGATGTAAAATCAGAGTTGTCTGATTTAATCGTTACTTTTTTTTGTTGAAAACTGTGCGCAAGTGGTGTTCAAGTCTTTTCTTCGAGGGTTAAGTAGCGAAGCTACAAGCCAACTACGGCCGGCTTGTCGTAGAGTTGTCATATTCTAACGCATGCTCAAAACACTGTTCCGTCGAAAGTTTTTTTCGGTCGAAAGTTAAAGTAAGCGTTGGTCAGCTTTAGAGAAACCTGCTCTCTGATCTGTGAAAGGAACGCTGTGTTGTGTGATTTTACTGCGAGACCCTCTGGTCAAAGCCACAGACTCATTTTGTGTCAGCTCTCCATTAAAGCAGAAGGAGGCGCCCACTAGAGGTTTGGAGGGTGAAGTGTTTCAGTTGCTGCTCTGTTGCTGTTCATTTAAGTGAGAAGACTGGAAACTGTTAAGAGTTAACAACATATTCTTTTGTTTAAAACATAAGGCTAAAACTACATTTGATCTTTTGCACTACAAGAAAGAAGCCTAATACTTTTTATCATTCATTCAACCTTTATTTACTTATTTATTTTTTAATACTTGATTTGTTTATTATTTAAAAACTCTCTGGACCTAGTAGTGGAATTTTCTTAATTCAAAATATATGATGGCAAAAGGACACGCTATGCTTTTTAAACTTCCTATTGCAAGTTTTATACCAAAAACATATTGTGATATATGTCGTTATGGCCACCCTTCACAGTACATATCGTGATATGAATTTTATGCCATATCGCACATTCCTAATACGCAGTATGTCAGACAATTCCAGGGATGTGATATAGGAGAGAAAACAGTAAGACCAGGGGTGTGGGGGCTGCCAGAGGCCCCCACTGGGTTCCAGTGGAGTCAACTCTTTGAATCAGAGCCAGACAAACGTCTTCACAAACAAGAAACACTTCATAAAACTGTGTTTACATTACTCTGCCGTGCTTTATTTTTGTCAGCGGGGGTCGGGGGTACGTGACATGTCTGAGTTGTGCACTGTAGTTTATTTCAAGTGGGGGTTCATCGTGAGGCAAACAAAGCACCACCTCTAGCATTTTAGATAGCACACCTGTTTTGCGCGCCATTAGCGTAGTGCTACGTCGGTGCCGGCAGCTGTTGACGGGGGGTGGTTCAGTAGGTGGGGCGGGGCGCTTGTATAATAGTAGGGGAAACAGTGAAACTGCACACACTTTATTCCACACTGTCACGTTACTGCACAGGTCTTCAGTTAGAGCTTGGACAAATCATTGTTTCTGTTAAGAACTGTTACAAGTTAAGAGTCCCCCCCTCCCCCCACGCCATTTCATTTTGACTACCGGGTCATACGGTCCTCATGTCTACTTCTAATCAGGGCACTCAAGCACATTTGGGCTTTTCATCAGTTCTTTCTGGGGCTGGAGCATGCTCAGATCATCAGTGCTTCCTGGTAGTCTTTAAAACGTCTTCAGTTGATCCAAAATGCTGCTGCCAGAGTCTTAACCGGAGTTACTGGGAGAGATCATATCTCTCCAGTTTTAGTTTCTCTCCACTGGCTCCCTGTCAAATCCAGAATAGAATTCAAAATCTTACTTCTAACCTACAAAGCTCTCAACAACCTAGCTCCATCTTATATTACAGATCTTATTGTTCCATATTTTCCTAACAGAGCACTTCGCTCCCAGACTGCAGGTTTACTTGTGGATCCTAGAATTTACAAAAACAGAATGGGAGGCAGATCTTTCAGTTATCAGGCTCCTCTCTTGTGGAACCAACTTCCAGTTTCTGTCCGTGACGCTGACACATTATCCAGTTTTAAGACTGGACTTTAGAATTTCCTTTTTGATAAATCCTATAGTTAGGGTCAGCTTGGGTTTCCTGAGCTGTCCCTTAGTTAAGCTGCTATAGGCTTAGACTGCTGGAGGACAACCTGACCACACTTTTCACTCTACTACTGTCTTTACTTACTCTGCTCAACCTGTTTTGTATTTGTAATTATTTTGTTTATTCTTGACGTGTTTTTGTCTTTCAGGTACACCTGGACCTACATCTGGGCCTGCGCCTACATCTGGGCCTGCGCCTACATCTGGGCCTGCGCCTACATCTGGGCCTGCGCCTACATCTGGGCCTGCACCTACATCTGGGCCTGCACCTACATCTGGGCCTACCATTCTGTGTTTGTCTGTCTCTCCTTCCTGTCCTCTAAACCAGCTGGTCAAAGCAGATGGCCGCTTGTCCTGAGCCTGGTTCTGTTGGAGGTTTCTTACTTTCTAAAAGGGAGTTTTTCTTTCCACTGTTGCCACTGTGCTTGCTCAGGATGGGAGACTGCAACGAAGCCAAGATTCAACTTGTCTGCTGGATTCCTTAGATAGAGAACTTTACTAATTGGCTTTTATGTGAATGTTGCTGTAAAGTGCCCTGAGACAACTTTGTTGTGATTTGGTGCTATATAAACTGAACTGAACTGGAAGCTGATTTGCTCTGGGTAAGAATCCGTTTAACTCACAAGCCTTAATGGAGAGATTTAATGCAAGATCCAAACGTTTGCTCTGGCGAAACTCAAAGACTTGAGATGATCTGAAAAAACGCTGCGTATTGTTCTTACCTGCAGCTGTAATCCTTTGTTGTCAGTATTGCTGACAATGAGGCGGATGCGGCCGTTCTTCTCATCAGTAACTCGGAGCGTCACCATGCCAAGAATTTCCATGTTCTGTAGGCCGCCATCCCGGCCACAGGTCAACGAGATCTTCTCCTCCACACGGAGATGTACGCTGCAAAAAAAAAAAAAAAACGTGAAATAAAGATCAACCCAGAGAAGACTGACCATCTATGACCCGTCAAACCAGTCAATCATTCTGAACACGTGTGAACAGCAGCAGTAAGAAAAGGCCACCACACAGCACCTTCTAAACTTCTGGATATGAAATTAAATATTCCAGGTTTAAATGTTTCTTCCAAGCTTGCTCTAAAGACAAAGCTAATTGTTGTAACGAATGTATAATTTTAATAAACTAATATTTATTGAAGAGAGTTTGTCAGAAACCAGAATCGCAACAGATTACTTTAAGGATCTTTTACAAAAGTTGATCTTCACCCGTGTGGAAATGTAAACGATCAAATGATGTCACTGTGTGCCCTTAGATCGATCACACTGTTCATCCACAACTGACCTAAATGAAGATCAGACAAAACACAATCTCACATTTCCTGTAATTTACAAACTTCCATGTAACTTAAAACAACTTAAAACCGTGTCGTCATCATACTTTATTCATAAGATCCTGACCCACCACAACTTATAGGAGAGGTGGAACAGAGGTTAGAGGTGGGCCTGTGATCGGACAGTCACAGGTTCAATTCTCCGAACAGACAACACCAAAATGTGGGTGGAAAAGAAGAAACAACCACACCTGCCTCCACCCTCATTGGCCCCACTATGGGCCCCTAACCCCCACCATCTGCTGCCAAACAGGACTGTTGAAAATGGGTCCTTGTGACTCATCGACCGTAGAAATAAAGATTCAATAAAATAAAATAAAAATGTAGAAACTGAACTGACAACTTGTGAACCTGATGCAGTCTGCAGCACGTTTACTCCTAAAATAACTGGTCCATGAGTTGCACCATCATCTTTTTCAAAACCAAACTAACAAAATATCTCGTCACAAAAAATTTATTTGCACATTTTAAAGTAGACAAAATATTTTAGGAATAAATTTCTTCTGAAGCTTTTTTCTGTAATGGTTTAAAGTGATGCATTTATGAGGTATGTAAATATGTTCTTGGTCCTTCTCATGTGAACACTGGATCCTCATACAAAGTCTTAAGATGTTTGACATGGTTTTAATCACACTGGTTAGACGACTCAACTGGAACGACATAAAACCTTTTCATACTTTCACACCTGCATTCTACGTGTTTGAAGGATTTCTACTGTTTACATGCACTTTTTTACAAATATAATTTTATATTGTTTAGGTATGACTTTTGTAAACCATTTGTTCTGCAGATAATTTGTAACATTTAGATTCATGCTGGGTATTTCAAGCAGGTCACTAACAGCAACCAGCATCAATCTTTGACAAGACATAAGACAAGATGTTTAAAAATAATGGAGGTAATAAAATGATGACAATGACGACGTGTACCTCTCCACATTGACTGGTGGTGCCAGAACTTTCGACACATCTGAGCCTCTCTTTCCTGTAGATGGAATGATTGTTTCACCTTCAGACTTGAGCTGGTCAACAAAGTTGTCTACTTCTTTCCCTTTAGCGCCCAGTTTCAGAGCCCTGCTTGGTCCACTCGATCTGAACAAGAGAAAGGAGGAAAACAACGTTTCATCAGTTTAAACAACTGACGTTTAGTTTAAAAATGTGAAATTTAACTACAGGGGCAACAAGGATGTTTTGGAGCTGCACCTGACAGGAGTCGGTGTGATCTTGGGTTTCTCGGGTTCTACAATGGTGTCTGTGATGACGGAGCTCGAGGATACACTGCTCATTCCGGCGCTACCAAAACCACCGAAGGCTGGCACCTTCTTTCCAGAGCGCTCGGCGTCCCTTCTGGCCTGCTGCA